TTGTGTTCTCTTTCAACCTTAACCTAAATCTCTTGCATTTAGACCTCATTTAGGGCTTAATTTACAATGATCAAGCATTGATTCTTGTCGATCAGATCTAGAACCATGAGGATCAAGGCTTGATCCTTATGGATGTAGCCTTGATCTATGAAGATCCAAGTTTGATCTCTGAAAATTTAGCCTTGATCTTCAAAGATCTAACCTAGATCTACATTGATTTAGGCTTGATCTGTATAGATCTACACTAGATCTTCAATTCACATGGTACTAAGTTAGAATTTCACAAATCTAACCTAGATCCACATGGATCTTGGCTAGATGTGAACGGATCTAGACTAGATCATCGCAAATTTAGGGTTAATTATGCAACAAATTAATTCTTATGATTGGCAGATCTGACCATATATTGGCAACTTTTTGAGAGAAAATGGCCCAAAAAATAGCAAAGTTTGGATTCAGTATGCTAAAACAGATCTATGCATGGAATAATGCATTCATTGCCAACCCATCTATTGCAATTGTGTCAACAGATACGAAAAATAATTCATCTGAAGAATGATTTGGCTGAGACATTTCCCATGTAGAAAAATACACAAAGGTGCCCCAAGAGATAAGAAAGAATTTCAGAGCAATACTCAATACCTGAAAAATCAATATTATTGCAAGAAAAGGTAAAACTGGAGGAATATGATAGGCGTACTATAGAGCCCCATGCCTATGATGACTACAAAGGTCACAACAATGATGACGTTGACCATGATGTTGGAGCAATAGCACATGCACGAGAAGGCAAGTGAAACATCAACGAAGCAAATGATGATATAAGCCCTGCAAGGGCAATGGTAGTGGTGACCACTCCTCAGTTAAGCATAATAGGCAGCATAAGATAGTTTGGGTTTCGAGGCTTTATCAATTTATTTGGTTGGAGGTCAGCTTTTGATGTAACTAATATGGATCCTACCGATCACAGAGTGCAAAACAAACATAGATTTATACTGCATAAACAAAGGAGAGGAAGGACATTAATGCGGAACCAATTGACTTTTATTATTTACTGAATCAACCTAATTAGTTTAGGGGTATTTTTGCATAGTCTTCCTACTATATAGGGGTATTTTTTATGATATCCTTTATTAATATACCCCTAAAATACCCCAAATGAGACAGAATTAGTTTAGGAATTCATCTTATTCATAGTCTTCCTACTATAGTGGATCTCATGACCAACTGCGACAAAGTGACAATTGATTATTTTCTTTTGAGTCAAATAAATCTTACTATAAGCAACAACAGTATAATGATAAGGGTTGTAGCACTGCTGCACTCCATCTTACAGAATCATACTTGTGATCCTACTTATCCTGGGGTTTCCTATCATATGGGTCATTCATGATGATGACTGCTGTTATTTCATCATACATGATGATGAGACCATGATTGCTACCATTTCATCAGTGTTTACCAATAACAAATATTATGGAAGTAGTTTCATGCATGGATCCTACTAAAATACCCTATCCATTTTTAGTTTTATCATATTGAAGCAAGGTTTTTAATATCATATCGTACTGCCCGGTACGGGCGATATGTATCGGCCTACCAGCTAACCGGCATGCGGACTACCCACTACCAGGCGGTATCAGCTGGCAGATAGGAGGAGGAGCACGACGACAAGGAAGACGAGGCTGCAGCACTCGTTGGACAAAGAAGGGGGTTGGACGTGACAAGACACAAAGAAGAGCTCCGTCGGGCGGAACGCGATAGGGGGCGGAGGGATTGTGGCTGCTGTGGTCGAGGAGGTCATGGTCGACGACGAAGGAAGGGGTCCTGACCCAGGTTGGAGTGCTGCATATTTAAGAAGGGGTTCCCTTCTCGCTCTCACCATCACCTTGGTCTTCTTCCTCACAGTCGCTGAGGGTGGCAGCGATGGGGGAGTGGGAGATGAGCTCGCCCTAGGCTGGATCCCCATCGGATCCAACTGCCATGAGAGCATTGCAAAGTGCCTCACAGGGGATGACTTTGAGCTAAGGACAAAGGCGACTCGCCGCATCCTCGCTTGCTCCTACTACATCAACTACAACGCCCTCAGGCGCGACAGTGTCTCCTACTCCCGCAGCGGCGCCTCCTACTACAACTGCTGCCCTAGTGCTCAGGCCAACCCCTACTCTCGCAACTGCTCCGCCATCACCTGCTGTCAAAGGTAAGAGCTCCACCATCACCCCCTTTCCGTCTCCCAAAATACGATATTTAGCAAGGATTGAAATTTCGTACCATACCGAAATTTCGAGACTTATTCGGTACAGTACGATATACCGAGCGGTATATTTTGATATACCGCTCGGTATATAAAAAAAATTGCAAGGTTGCCTCCCTTCTCGGGCAACTCAGCAACGTCGCAAATTAAAAAGAAAAATTATGACGTCACCTCCCTTCTCGAGTGACGTGGCCGAGGCGACATCGTGGATAAAAAAAAAAATTGCAAGCAACATCACCCGAGGAGAGGAAAAAAAAAAAAAATCTTCGCCTCCCTCCGCCCCGAGACATCGATGCCTCTTCTCCGACACGCGGATAAGAAGTCGCCGACAAACAAGGAGGAGAGCGGCGATCTCTAGGTTCTCCCTTTTTTTCCTATTTCTTTCTTCCCCTTCTCCCTCTTCTTTCTTCTCCCTCGATCACCGTCGACAATAACACCTCAATCGATGATAATAACACCTCAATCGTCAACGATATCACCTCAATCGACGGTACCACTCGATAGCAGGCGATCCATGTACCGGTCTGCTAACGGACAGGTACGTACCGCCCAGTACGGGCGATATCATTCGGTATTGCAGACCTTGATATTTAGACAAAGAGAAGGTCAATTCCGCACGTTTCATCTTAAAAGAAGGGCGCATCGCTTGGTACACCATGGTGTACCGCTCGGTACACCTTGGCGTGTACCGCTCGGTACACCCTGGCGTACCGCTCGGTACACCCTGGCGTACCGCTCAGTACGCCCATACCGTGTCGTACCGAACAAAGCTCGATACACCAGTACGGTACGAGATTAAAAACCTTGTATTGAGGACCTCAAATCCACCTGTAGTGAACTCACAAATACCACGGGAGTAGCTTTATATGTGGATTCTACTAATATACCATATTGATTTACAATTTCATTAAATCAACGACTCATATCCACTTGTCGTGGACTCACAGATACCATGCAAGAAGTTTCAAGCATACATCCTATAAATATACCATATTAATTAATAAATTCATCATATTAAGGACACCAGGTCCACCTATCATGGATACATAGTTTTATATCCAATTTATTATGTCTACATATTAGTTATAACTCCCTTTTATGTGCATGTATTTTTTAAATATTGATTGTGTTCCTTATCTGACATATATTTCGATTAGTATTTATTCTTTTCTAGATTAAAATCACTTTATTATCATCAACAATTTTCATATTCATCAAGAATAGTGTAAAAGAACCCTAAATTAGTTTTATTTTTGTTTTTTGACAATTTTCAAACCTTTTTTATACCACAGGACATATAAGTGTACCAAGTGTTGGTAAAGCAGTACATACCTGAAATGTACTGGACCAAGCGTGGATCAACACAGTTCACAAAATTGAATTTATGATCTAGATGCTTAGTTATTTCAAATTTATTGGATTGTATTAAATGGATGATGATAATTTGATTATACTTATCACTGTTTAGATTAATTATCTTGGAAGATTAGTCCAAGTTGCTAAATTAAGGGGTACTGTGGACAAACCATTTTGTATTGAGTGATTTCAGAATTTAAAAAATAACTAAAGCTTTATTTGTCACTGATTTCAAGCATAATTCATGGTATTGGTCAAATATATAATACAACTGACCCAATGTGTATTGATTTTGTCCAAGGATTTGCTTATTTCTCTGCCATATTATAAAAAGTTAACTTAAATCAGTCAAAATCAATCAAAGCCATTTGGATTTTGACCAATTTTGGTCAATTCTAGATGATTTGATAACCTCAAAGTAGGGAAAAAAGAAGAGAGAAGCAAAAAAAAACTATTTATATGAGAGATGAAGGGACAAAAAAACTATTTATGAGAGTAGATGGAGGATATATTGCGATTATTTTGTTTGCTACTTATGACCATCACAATAGGCCTCAACTACCATTTTGCAAATTGCAATGTCCAAAGATGAAAGGATACAGAAGATAAAAGTAAAGGATGAACGGTAGCTCTTAATCTCAAAGCTATTAGAAAAGGGAATGAGATTCAAATTCCAAATCTAGTTTCCATTACAACAGCTTGAGTGGGTCCACAAAATTTATTCAGAGGTTGATTAGGTCCCTGATTGAACCTACAGTTTAATTAACATTTGGTCTTTCTATAAATAATTCAAAAACGAGCATGGTAAATCTTCCAACACTCGATAGCCACCATCCAACAATGTTTTCTTCGATTATCCAATACCTACAAGATACCTTCTGCAAGTACTTATTTGAAACATTGTCGCCAATGCAAGTACTTCTTTGAAATCCAATAAAACAATAAATATATGTAAGCACATACTATCATGTTATTTGATAGTTACTTTCCCTAAATTCAGCCAAAAAATCTAACTTGAAAATAATAATATCCATACCAACTATGAAGATCTCTTTGCCATGCTTATGCCCTCAAATATCTCATGTATGATATGACGAAGTAACCAACATTGCTTTATTAGGTATCAAAATTTTCAGATTTCCAGATGTAGCTCAAGTTAAAGTTCTAGTTTTCACTGCCACACAGAAGTTTAGCATTTTAGATCTACATATTGTAGTCTATATTCCACATAATAATGACTTGGATGAAATTTGATGAGTCTATGGATAGAAAAGGTCTCAGAACCTAAACATTCAAATCTAGTGCAAAGAAACCTGTTTTCTGGAGAAGGCTTGCAAATGCAGAACATATCAATGTTATGTCGAAATATCAATAAGCAACCAACACATACCATCATGCAATTTCTTGGCACGAACTTGTAACCCAGAAATAGATGACAAAACTGCAGAGTAATCCACAGAAAATCAAATGTCATTGCTTACAATAGAAGAAGTAAAAGAGAAAATTCATCATGAACTAACAATTGAAACAGATACACAATGTACCTGAAATTGCTGGGGTAAGGACACCATCACCAATCACCATGCTGGCACCAAACAGCACAATAAGAAGCAAAAGAGTTCTCAGCCTTTTATGCTTCTCAAGAAACGTTTTCAATGGAGAAGAAATCACAGTTCGGGTCCCATTACTATAGTAAGTTGAGAGCTCCTCATCGGCTGCTTGCTGATTTGGAAGCAAGCTAAATCTGGCATGTCTGCATAGCAGAGAGTACAAAGCAAATGTGCCCCCTGCAAGCAATTCAGAAATTATAAATGAAAGAAAAGAATATATAATCAAAATATTCTCAAGTCATACCTTCACCATTATCATCAGCACTCAAGACAATGATAATATACTTCAGCAATGGGATCAGAGTAAATGTCCAGAATATTAATGAAAACAGACCAAATACTGTCTGCTCATCTTGATATTGATACAACCTCCAAGAAAATGCACTTTTGTAAACATAAAGAGGAGATGTACTCAAGTCACCATACACTACACCAAAACTTTGATATGCCAAAAGAAACAAGCTTTTGTAATAACTCTTCCAATTAACCTGCAAGATCAATGAGTGGCTTATAAACTATGATACATCTCACATATCCCAAATTTAGTAAGAACATATCGACATAACTCTTAGAATACATTCACTCACAATGTCCAAAATTTTATCATAATACGAATTCTTATAAAATGATAGGTGCTGAATAGGCAGCTAAGGTGCTATTGACCATCTAGGTGTTGAGTGATTATCTAGGCAACTTGTAGTGTCCGAGTCTTACACATATTGAATTACAACTAACATGTCAATAGAAACACAAATAATATGTATATATTACCCTTACTTAGTGATATGATTTGTGATGTCTATACTTCATAAATATAATAAATGATATGCTCATGTTTTCGACTCTTAATGTTGAAGCATGCTTTCCAAAAATATTATTCACGATATGCTATCAAATGTTGGTTGAACATACATAAGCATCAATGTTTATTGTAAACAAATTTTGTAGCAAACAGGCACAGTCCTGCGACGCAATAAGCCAAAGTGTGCTAGCGTACTTGAACATAAGGTTAGGTTATGACAATAAACATGTATATAGTGACTAGAAGTAATGATTGAATTTTAATCGACCTTAAGTGAATCTCAAGGTTTGAATGAGTTTGACCATGATTAAAGAAAGTTTGACCATCATATATGTGGAGCATAATAAACTACTTAAGCATGGATGAATTAATAAAAAATAAATGAAGATGCAAATCAAAGAGGGGTGTTATACTAAGACTGTTAAGAAACATAAGATTAAATGAAGATTCCCTTAGGGTTCTATGGGTTTTGAATTGAGTAAATAAAACCTCTTTGCACCAAGATATGAGGTTTATAAGTTCATATAGTCCCAACCCAGTTTAAACATAACAGAATAGGAGTTAATAGTTGAATTAGGAGAATAGTTTAGCCTCCAAATAATTATGTTTTAAATTGAAATTTGGTATGTATTTAGTTTTATATGTATTCTAGTTTTTTATAAAATTTCATGATAATTCAAGATCGTTTGGTTAACTAGAATAGTGAAGTAAAATTTCTTCGCAGAATTGTGCAATAGTTTGATTGATCCTAACTAGTTCATTTGATTATGGAGTGAATTGTTAAAAAATTGATGGTGGAATTTAGATGAATTTTCAGATTGAGCAATCTATTTTATAAGGGATCTTATCAAAAATTTTCTATGAATTATTGCTATGAATTATTATAAATCAACAATTCAAGAGGTAGGGTTCTTAATTAAGACATCTCATAACCCTATGCTCTCGATTTGATAGGTGTACCGCTCCCTAACACAATTATTAAGGAACATTGTCTTTCACTGGCATCTTTATTTTTGAGTTAATTCAAGTAAGTATAGGTTTAATTCACTGTAAAATAGTGGTCGTATAAATTATCATATTCATATTGCATTTTGAAAAGGATGTTTCGAATGATATGTTTGTCAACTGCTAAGCATGCTAAGCATGAGCTCAATATTAATGTGCATATTATATAAGCATAAAAATATATGAATTATAATAAAAATATATCGTATGCATGCATATATGATGATGTGTGTTGTAAGAGTGCATGTGTTTTCTACGACGGTACAGTATGGGAGTGCACAGATGTTACGAGGTGCGATGTACATATATACTATGACGTGCAGTGTGAGAGTGCACATATGTTTTATGACCTGTGATGTGGGAGTGTACATACATGCTATGGTATACAGTGTGGGAGTGCACATGTATATATATTACAATGACGTGCGGTGTGAGAGCGTATATGTTATCCATGAATGTGCTATGTTTCCTACCTATACATATAAGCATTTTGAATTATTTTGATGTAGAGTTTTACCTCTTTATTATGCATATGCTATGTTATAGGGTTATATTGTTAAAGAAGTCATAGGATGAGGTGATTATCATTAAATATCTTATGGCAATAATTTTAGAATATTTTATGCATAACATATATATGCTCACCTAAATAAAGCTATAAATGCTTATACTTACTAGGTGATTACTCACTATAGACCCTATTTTGCAGGTAATGATACTAGTAGCCCACCAAGTTATTTAGGCTGGGAAGTGAGCATGTGCGAGCCTATGTCAGTACAGATATAGATGATGACTTGTGAGCATTTTTATGTGTATAACTTTTGGATATATAGTGTGTGTATTTTTATTTTGGTTAGAGATTATAATTAACATTGTATACAAGGGGAACCCCGTCATTTTATTCAATAAACTAGCATGTTTTACTTTTAAGATTACCTACTTTTATGCTACAATCCTATTAATAGCAGTAACTAAACTAAAAGCCTCATCCTACTTTAGTCATGCATGTAGGGTATGTGTTGAACTAAGAGTAGGGTGTTACACATCTACCCAATGATTAAGGGTGTCTAGTCACTACAACCAATGTCCACAATAGTCGCAACAACGGCTACAACCAATGCCGTCCAATGCAGCAGTAGTTGTCATTGCCACTGCAGCTGACAATGGTGGAGCAAATAGCAATAGGTTGCTGCCTTTGCCGACTCCAATCAAAGCAGCAACAGTTGTTGCCGCTACAAGATTAAAGAAAAAGAAGTTTAAGGAGGCCTGGAGAAAATTGGAAAAGAAAATTCTTCAGCTTAATAATGAGTGAGGAGCATCACTAGCTGTCTTTATGCATTGTCTACGCAACTAAACACCATCAAGTGCTAACCCATCAAAATCAGCATATGGGATAAACCGCATGTACATATCATTTTTAAAATGATAATGTATTAATAATTTTACTTATTTCTTATATAATAAAAATTAATCCATTGATTAACTGACGACCTAACATTTCCAAAGAGTCCTGCATTTCGCAAGCAACAAACACAAGAGCACAGCCAATATTCTCTCGTTGCAACATGCAACAATCTAATCCCTTCGATTTATCTTTTGTCAAAATGATATCAGAAATTATTATCATATGATGTTGGGTTTCTTTTCCAATACACCATTCCAAACCCATCGATACTAGCTTTGCTGCACAAGAAACTGGAAGATCCTGTGCTCTTTCATTGAGTACCAAAACATTTCTTTCAAAAGAAATATGTAATTATTGGGATCACAAGCAAAATGGAGTCGAACTAATCCAAGTATTTCTACGTTTTCTAATCATAAGATATACTTAATAATTATGAAAAGTTAAAACAACTAAAATTCCACTCGAAGTTGGAAATATATGCAAGTTTATAATAATTTACGCACGAGGTACAAAACATTCACAAATATGCATACCAGTTAAAGAACACATATCATAAACATTAACTGAGAATTCAATGATCTACAAAAAGTTTATAGAGTCGGGATTTTTAACAGGAAACTACTGAGTTTGCCCTTTTTTAGTTCAACAAGGGGTAATGAAAGCCTAAGAAGTTTCTCTCTGATCTGGGACGAAAACCCTGACTTGATCCCAAACCCAAAACATCTCATACTGAAAAACAGCCAGAAAGCATCACCTTTTACGAAATCGTCTTCTTAAAATTATCGATCAAATATTGCCTAGAACTATCTTTCGTTTCTAAGGCAAAATCCCAAGAAATACCCTAAATCTCCATACGTCTCAAATCTTAACTACTTGCCAGCCGAATCAAAGAGAAGAAAGCGAAAGAAAGAACAACTGCACCTAGAGAAGACAAGTTACTCTCGACACCACTACTCAACAATTTCAAAAAACGAGAAAAAGAAGCCCAAATCGAAGCTCGGGGTCGAAATAGCCGATCTCGCCACGATTTACTCGTAGAGCAAAACAACATGCCAACCCTCACAAAGAAACACTCTATCCTATCAAACATCGATAACAGCAAATTTACGGAATGAACGAAGGTAAGGAAACGAAACACGAAAAAAGAGAAAAATGGACATCAAAGCCCAATCTCGATCATCCGGTTACCCACCCGCCGGTCGTCGGAGGTCGACCCTCTCTCTCGATCCATTGGTAACGGATTGATGACACCACCGCAGCCGCTGCTTCTCTAACTCCGAGACCGAATCGATCGCCGAGACACCGCCATTCCGAATCCGCTAGCTCCGGAAGCAAATGCGAGAGGGGGAGATATATGGGAATCGAATGAGTGGGATGCTAAAACACGAAACTTCTCGCGATGATTTATACGAGGGACGGATTCGTCTAGAGATAGAGAGAGAGAGAGAGAGGGATCTAGTCACCGCAACCGAAATAAGCGAACTGTCACCGCCCGCGAGCGTTCTTCGAGTGCGAGGCGGGCGCTCGTTCTCTGTTATAACGGTGAAGATAAGATGTTAAGATCGCCAATTTGTTTGTGGACCGTTGATGTCATCGTGATTTAGATGGACGGTCCATATTTTTACAATTTTTGTGATGTTGGCGCACTCCGCGTCGGAAGCGTGTGCGAGTTGAGTTGGTTCGGATAAAAGCAGTCCTCGTTGACTCAGTTGATTTATTGTAGTTAATTAATATATATATATATCACTGTAGTTAATCTCAATTAGCTATTTATTGTTAGATGGAACAATATAATATTATATATATAAAGAGAATAATTAATATTATTTTCTTATAAATTTTATTAACTAGAATAAATAAACATATTGTTAGATGAAAATATTATTTTTAATTATACGTATTAAATACACATTATATTATACTATATTAAATAAAATAAAGTAAGATTGTACGGCTGTACCTCTCTCTTTGACCGTCAAAGAGAGAGAGAGAGAGAGGACAAAAGAAATTAGCTTTGTGATGTGATGTTTCTCCTCCCTCTTCAGGAAATTTATTTATTAATTTCTTTTAGATAAAAACTATTGTTTTTTCTTTAGAAGGAATAATCATAATTATGTAGTGGTTATAATTACAGAATTCCTTCTTCACCATATATCCTTAAATAATAATAATAATACAGTACATTTTTTGACCAATAGGATATCTTCTCACCCAATATATATATATATATATATATATGGGGGGAGAATGATAAGCACTATTATTTGTTTAACCATAGAAGAGCAAAAGTCTAAAGTTTGATAACTTTAGTAAAAGAGGATCAAACTTAATTAGGCAACATTTTGATAATTTTAACTCTAATTTCAATTTTTCTTTGTAAGGGAGTTGAAGTCATTTGTGTCCAAGAAATTATTTATTTACCTAAGATGTTGAAAGAGATCAGATTTATACTTGAATTTTAGATCTCCATGCATAATAATCCTTATCCAATCCCACTCAAGTTCTATTTGAATCAAGTTGTAGTTTTTGCCCAATTTAACAAGACTTTGATACTTAGATAATAGTAGCAATCATCATTTTATGTTCAGAAACGCAAATGCTTCCAAGTATATTATTTTATGTCATTGACTATAACTAAGATTATAATGAGTTTATTATTTATATAATAATTTGCATGGGTGGTCAAATCAATTAACTACTGCATTATTATGTTTGGAACCCACTGAAACATCATCAAGCATAGATGCTCCCATTACAAAATAATAACGATAATATTTTTTTTAGCTCCTATTCATTGAGATCTAATTATTGCCACAATGGTATGATATTTTATACTCTCAAGTCATTTGTTCAAAGCAATAAAAAAAATATTATTGTTGAGGACAGGAAATTCTTCTAAGATGCAAGTTGAATAAGAAGTTAGGAGGGAAACCTAAATATATAGGCCTTTTGAATGATTATTATTTGCCCCCCCTTTAAATTTTAATATTACATTTATGTCTCTCACCAAATATAAATTTTACATATATATATCTCTCTAGAGGTTAAATTTTGATATATGTCACTACCGTTAATATCCGCACAATAAACTCGAGTTATCATTAAATTTGAAAAAAAATAATATTTCAAGTACCAACAAACACCCTTTATTACTTTCATCAATTTTTTATCATTTTATTTTTAGATATTTTAAGAGAGGATATTAATGTAATTTAATGCTTGACATATAATGGATAGTTAATGAGTTTACATAGACAATGATGTAAAAATAATGATATGAACGACATTTACATATCAATGTGACCAATGTATCAATGTCATCTGAACGATATATTAGTGTCACATGACTATATGATCAATACATAAGCACTTCGAAGTTAAACCTTCGGGGTTAGACGAATGTGATATTAATCGAGATTGAACTATAACAAATGTGAAAGAAATCTCAATTAGCTTTGAATCAACATTCATATCGATTAATCAAATTATATATATAAGACAGTTAGGATTTTATTTTTTATTAGAGAGAGTAATGACTTTTTTTTTATTATTTTGCAAAGATCTTTTCACAATATGGTAATATTGTTTCTTAAGGAATAATTATAACAAATTAAGCATTTTAGGCATTAACTTTAACCCACATTGAATTAAGTGTCCAGCTTTATCCATTATATTTAAACAAAATTTAATTTGCTCACAATGGAACATGAAAGATAAAAGAAAGTTGATACAGTACCCGATTTAGATTCAAAGTGCTTAGAAGATAATTTAATTCTGATCTGGGTATTATTAACCTTAATGTGATTCCAAAATTACCTCTTGCTGCTGCCCTATTTGCTGACAGAAAACCCATAAAAGATTGGGAGAGCAAGCCCTAAAAGAGACACCTGCTGATACCTGGTTCTATCCCATCATCAATTGGATATTTGCAATCGAAACAGTATTACATGAGATTTCAAGAGCCAAATAACTAATAAAGAAGCAAATAGAATCCAATGTCACACACCTGATTTATTGAAAAGTTGCCAGCAAAGTCAGGATCATTCAAGCCAACAGACATCCTCAGGATTATTCGCATGTGAACCTCCATTAAAGGTGCCATTTGGGTGAAGAAATGATAATAATAACAACTCGAGTGAATTGTCAGATCAATTTTGCTGCCACACTACCAATTTGGATTTCTCCAATAAGTTTATGTTCGATATTGATCACCCATGTTATTATGAAAAAATATGCATCTAGTGGCTCTTGATTCTCTTCTGGGAAACCAACAGAAACCTCCGGAGAGCAAGCATTGCAACCCATGTAGACTTTGAGATATTCTCCTTTATCATCAGCAGCAAGGCAGAGCTCAAAACAGTTTTCAGAATCTGAGCCTGCAAACCTTTAAAGAACCCAGGAAACCCTTCTCTTCTCCATACAGAAGATAAAGCACCCACCATCGTCTTGGGGTGTTTCGGTCGGGTGTCACTCTTGGACTCATCTTCTGTATTAGCAGATTGAATCATGACTTTACACCTGTTCAGGGTGCAACTAGATCTCATTTTGATGCATAACTTTCAAAATGCAAAAGAACCAATGAATGATAAAAAGAAAATGCATAAGAAGCATTCAGTAGTAAAAATCATTACCAGATGCTTCTCAGATGATGTAAGTTTGCTAATGTTTTCTGCAACCTACCTAATAGCTGGGTAGGTCAAGATGGTTGCCAGGCTCTTTGAGATGGCTCCGAGTACAAAGGCTGCGGAGGCAGAAAGAGCTGCTGGAGATGATTCAGTGTTCGCTGGCAATACATTACTACTTTGTCTCCTCAGAAGTCTATGTTTCAACTGATCAAATACTGTATACTGTGTTTTGTTAAGACAAAAATAACAAAATCAAAATCAAGTTTTCATCGGCACCTGATAAAATAAATTCTGGCAATTGTTCAGGAGTAAGAACATAACAATTACACCATCGAATGGATGCACATTGCATGTCGAAGAGGTGTAGATTTTATAAGGATTTTCAAAAGTTAAACTTTCTTGCATCAAAAGGTCAGAGAGGATAACAAAATGAATTGCCATGTGACCCTGTTTAACTTCTTTCTTTGAAGGTTAGGTTGTCCGAGATCATTTAAACATTAACCAGAATAAAAGGCAATTCATGAGAATCGAAAAGTTCAATTTTCAAAATGTGAAGTATGGCTATTCATTCAAATACCACAACATGTAAGAACCTACCCTAACACATGCTTAAGAAAAAAAAGCAACTTGAGGTTACAACACTTGGAAAACCACATCAGCTAAGTTAAAGAAACATCAACGTTCTGTAATGCACTGTGACATGAGATGGTCATACTAATCTGTGATTTTAATGGCATTCTCAAACTCTTGCCAAGGCAGAAAGTTGAATACATGTTGAAAGAACATTATCAAACATTAGGCTAACCCCATAAAACATGATAGACATTCTTTCAACAATTTAGCAGTGAAAAGTTAATGTGCTGGAGCATAAGGGTTAGCCCTGTTAGCTTATAAAACTATATGTTATGCAAAGTGGACTGCATATAAATAATAAAAAAATGGATATCCTGGGATAAATTTCTATCACTCCTTGGAAAAGTATGATGGTTAACTTAATTTGCCAGCTTCTGACGATCAAAGGCAGATCTGTGAGGTCAAAAGAACATAACATTTATCAAAACAGGCTAACGAGTGATTCGATCATCAAACATCATTTTTAAACTATTGTACGTGTGTTTCTCATGCATATGAATTATCAGGTACTCCAGCTTCAGTCAAAGGAAACAATACAGTGAGTAGTGATTCAGATCCAAAATTCCAAATGGGAAAGAGAACAAAAAGAATCTAGCAAAGCCAATACTAAGCAAATCGAGTATTTTATTTTCTTTGTCCAAAGCCCTAAAATCAGTTACAATTATGGAACTAGTTGTATATAGACTTTCAAACATTGCCTTCACAAATTCACAAATTGCTTTGCCAGTAATCTAGATTAGAAACCATGTTCATATTTGTCTTGAGTTATTATGCTTGCATTCAGCCACGAGTGAACATGGTACATCGGATGCACAGGCATAGTCTGTCATGATTCGTTTTAAGATATTCCCACAATGCGAAGCTGTTGTAAATATAGGTAGAAAATCCACTCTCATCGTTTATTTACATATCAATCTGTAAGTCTTTTGCTCATTGATATCTGGGTAAAAGCAATAAATCCACAAGAACAGATCACAGTGACTTGACTAGAATTGTCCAGTGATGCTGTACTCTTTTAAGTGTTCAGTCCCACTAAGATCTTATAACTTATTAGACATCCAGAAAGTTTTTGTTTTATTCCGTCTCATATCTGTAGGGAGTAAAACCAACTTTATGGGCCATTATCAGAATCCCTTATT